TGAGACATGCTTGGAACAGTTGAGCAATAGAAACAGATTTCTCTGCAGCATCTGTTTGTGCTCATAACTTCCAATGCACCAGCTGTAGCGAGATACTGAGTTTGGAGGGCGAGGGAGCTGCTGTTCGATTCTCTCGCGGAGGGGAAAGAGGGGGCTTGGAGGAGTGCGCCTCTTCGAACCCAAATCGGAAGCCTTGGCAAACCTTGGGGCTCATTCTGGGAGCCTCCCACCCCACCCCTCTCTTTGTCATTGCTTCAGATGTAGCTTCTCTTCCAAACCCAGCGAGCTTCTTTCAGAGTCGCTCGGGCAGAGGCGCGGAGCTGGAGTTGGAATTTAGCCCGAAGACCGCAAAAACGTCCCATCAGGTCTCTCTGCCGTAAGCAACTTGTTATTCTTAGGATAACAGTATTAATAACTAAATAGACGGCGGTGTGGCTTTAGGAAAGCAAGCAGAATGGGGTGGGGATGGGGGGGCGGGGGTGAGATTTGATTCTTCAAAAAGATTGCATCATAACATAGATTCCGTGACTATTTAAAAAAGAGATAGGAATGGAGAGCTTAATGTCTGTCTGAATAAGCATCTCAGTAGGATGGTGGCCAAGATGTGGCTGTGAAACCTGGGATTTTGTTTTTTCCTTTTATAAACGCGAAATTTACCTGTTAGGAAATAGGTATTATTTGAAAATGCCTGTTTGGGGTATGCAAAGAATGTGCATTGCCTTTCAACTTGTTTTTTTTTTCACATCCATAATCAATAGTAGGTAGTCAGATTTTCTTTCACTAACTCCTGTTTTCTATTTTGTGTATATTGTCTGTTACACTTGTTAGATTTTTCCTGCTTACTTTCACACCCCCCACCCCCAGCGTTTTATTTATTTTGTCATTATCTGGTCAAATGGCAAGCTCAGGAATAAGATATTACTTCAAGGATGTGGGAGGGGTGAGAATTAGGGTCAAGGTCATTTCATTTGGCTCACAGCACCTCCACTCCTGTTTCGGTGGCCCTTGCTTTTTCGAAATTACGGGGATGTGGAGGGAATATTTGTTCTCCACGCCTGTGAGTTTGACTTTTATTGATTGATTCCAAGTGCACCGTCATCTTCCTTCATATTCCCCCAATCTAAAAACCACTGAATAGTCTGCACATAACTTTTGAGTGGCAGGGGGGAATTTGATTACCTCTTTCACTCTGTACCCTCCTGTTGGAGGGTTTTTCCCGTTTCTGCACCAGGGAGGGATATTTCCCAACATTTGCCAGAGTGGAGGGCTTGCTCTACAGGCCTGCTTGTATAGAATAGATGTTAGAGGAGCCTATCTCTCCTGGTCTCCTTCCCCTCCCCCCTCTGTGTTTACTGAGCTTCTCAGAGGTTGCTTTGCTAGCAGTTGTGCTCACATGGCAACATGTGCCCAGAGCACACTCAGGCTGGTCTATATGGCGTCAGCTGGGGAATAGCAGCTCTAAACACTCATTAGCAGACCTTGTTCACCCTGTGGTACACTTTCTCTGACTCTCCTTATTTCCTCTCCCAGGTCAGAGGCTGCGTACTAGGACCATATTCTGGAACACATTTTCATCTCACTTAGGCCTCCTACGTGACATAAAAAAAAAATTAACCAGATTGGAAATATTTCTTATATGGTGGTGAGAAGGACTTTGATTTCCCTCTCATGGTTACCATGTTATCACTTGACCATGTAGTTTACCCTCTGTTCGTTGTCCCTTCACATCTACCTAAGCTTGAAGCTCAGAACTATTTTTTTTCCATCGCTTATGCTTAATTTTGGCTCAGCCTATAAATAGTCTTAACATGAACAGCACCACATGTGGCCTCTCAATTTCCCAGAAATACTTTTTACATCATTGGGTAGAGCCTGGGCAAAATGATTATTTATTTTTATTAAATGTACATCAGGACCTTACATATTTTGGCCGAAAGGAGAATATATACGTTGCTTGTGACATTGACAATGAGTCCTGCTCAATTGCATACAGGAAGAGTTAAACCACTGAGTGTTCTCATCAACTCTTATTCAGATGCCTCTTTAAAAAAGAGTTGGGATAGATAAAGTTGCATGAAAGCCTTATTTTTAAGGAAAATTTTCCTGGGGTACTGCTTGTAAACCGTGATTTTCGGTGAAAGAAATGCAGGTGAAGATGGTTTTATTCTTGCATGGTGCCACGTAGGCATATGGAAAGCTTCTAGAAAAGGGCCTTTCAATATTAAAATGATAAGATAATTCACTGCCCTCTCACACTTTCAGCAGGCTCTAGATTTTTGCTATGTATTCAACTCTAAAACTTCTGGAGATAAAACTCTGCTTTACAGCCTATCTATTTGAAGTGACGAAAGTTTCCATTTTACCAAAGAACCATTTTTTCCCTTTCCAGGCAGAAATGGTAAAATTTCTAAATGATGCTCTGCATATGGAACAAATTCTGTCATTAGCAATGGAAATAAGACAATAATAGTCGCTCAATACCGGCTATTTTCAAGGTTCTAAATGCGGAAAGCTATTCATAGGGAACTGGTATTGTGTATTTTGTGGAATTCAAACTAATGTCCTGGGGTCAAGATTTTTGAAAGTAGTAATTCAGTCTTTAGATTTCATATGGCTGTTATGCTTTAATCCGGAAAGAGTGCAGAAATAAATCAGAAGAAATTTGAGACTGTCTACTCATGAGCCCTCATGCTAACTCAGATAGAAGAACTGGTTTGAATCATGAAAAGGGGATTCTTAATGTGAGCTTGCAAGATTCAGTTAAGAAGAACTTAGAGAGATATAAGCACTATTTAATTGAAGTGCTTCCATACCTTTTGAGGGAACGACACCTGCCTGCGTTTGAGGTTCTTTGATTACCACTGAGTCTGAGTTTAGCAATTTCAGATGAGCCAAGTAAGCTGAAACCACTGTTCAGAAAAATTACTCTCCCTGGCCAGAAGCTGGAACCCCAAGGGATACGAGTCTAGTTTCTTCTGTCCAAGTACAAACTTCAAACTTCATAGGGAAGCAGACAAAACATTGAAGCAGGTGAAAGACTGGGAAGGCACAGAAAACTTCTTTTTATAAAGTCATTCGAAGGCACTTTCAAATTGGGCATCATTTAGGTGTCAAAAGCTGCCAAAATGTAACACACATTGCAATTTTCATAGATGACTAATCTCAGCAAAAATGTGTTAGGGCACAATCTTGCATAATCATGTTGATATAGAGGGAGGTATGAGAAGATTGTAACCAGGCATTTTCAAAGACAGTGCACCTTGCCTGTCCTGAATGGGATAGCTCAAATGCAAGATCATTGGTGTGCTTCCTTTGTTTGTAGCTGTTTGGACTGTCATTGGTTCTGTTAACTGCCTCCTCCTTATGGGGTGTTGAGGGAGAAAGACAGCTCAGTCTTCCTTATCGGGCTTATCCAAATTCCTTTTGTTTCTGCCTGTTGTGCATTGTGATCCTTTTAGACAGGAGATAGATGGAGTTGTCTGAAAAGTCTAGAATCTCTTTTCTGTGTCAATTCTGTTGAAATTGACAGCCCTCTTCACTTTGTTCACTTACACTTGCTAAAGAAAGTATACCTTAGATATTCTCTTGTGTTTTTTGGTCACTTCTTCTCTTGTGTTTTTGCTATGCATTCAAGGGGATGAAAAGGTTTCTTTGGAGAAAGCTGGAAAGTTAAAAACCTCGTTTTGATGTGAGGGAGAATGAGGTCAGCAGAGGATGGAAGGATTCTGGGTTCCCATGAAGTGAAGGTGGTGAGAGCCCTCTCATAGGAGCCCGCCGTTAACAGTAACTTCAAAGTGAAAGTGAGGCAACTGATACTCATGATCTAGTCCTACAAAGTTTTCTCTGTTTGGGAAAAACACAGAACTGCACCTGGGTAAAATGAGTGCCTTACCTCAATCTGCTAAAGACCTTGTCCTTGGACTCTGATGCTCTGACTTCCTAGCCTGTCATAACCCCTGGCAATTCCATCTCCAGAGAATTTCAGGACTCTCATTGCTAGGCAACAGAGTCATTCTCTATCCCCCAGAGCAAAGCTGCATCTTCAATGCTCTTCCCAATGCTCTGCTCTTGCACTAACAGGATGTCATCGGGCATATCTGCAGCGCAGCTGCTGCCAGTGTGCAGTGCAGGAACAAGCCCTCCAGTTTCTAGAAATGGTGGGATGGTGGTCTGTTTTTGGAGGATGGGAAGGGGGGGTTTAGTTTTGTCACTTAAGCAGAATAACATGTACTTGCCCGTTTCAACCTGGTCTCCAGGGATTCTCATAATCGTCTATGTGCGTCTGCAATGGAATTAGTTTGAGTCTTTTGCGTTACTATGAAATGTTCTCTAGACAAGTCTTAAGTTCCGAAAGCGTGGTGGCAAATGGAGTAATCAAATATTTTTATTTTTCTGCATAATAACTTGTAATCCTAGCCAGTGGAGAAGGTGAGGGAAGAGAATCAGAGAGTGGGAGTAATCCTGTTAAATAGAATGTGTTAGGATGCTGATGGTGGAATCAGATGAAGTGAACAAGGGAAACAAATTTCAGTTGAAGGACTATCACAGGTGCTGGAGCGATAGCACAGCAGGTAGAGTGTTGGCCTTGCACGTGGCTGACCCAGGTTCGATTCCCAGCGACCCATATGGTCCCTTGAGCACCACCAGGAGTAATTCCTGAGTGCATGAGCCAGAAGTAACCCCTGTACATCGCCGGGTGTGACCCAAAAAGCAAAAAAACAAAGAAAGAAAGAAAGAAAGAAAAGGCTATTACAAATGAACTATTACTGTTTTTTTATTGCTTTTATGATTTTAACTCAATATTTTTTGGAGTACTACAAAATGAAATGCCTTGCAACTTGACATAGCTGACTCTGTTTTGCGAGGAACTGCTGCCTCAGAGACGAACCTTTCAAGAATGACTTCGTTTGTAATGAATGGTCTTTCTTTTCTTGCAGGACATGTTCTCTGGATGTTAGCTGAGTTACTAAGGTAACTCTCTGCATGTCCATTGACAGACCTTCGTAGCACATCAAGTCTCTGAGAGAGGACCTCCCCATCACTCCTCCTTTTTTGCTTGTGTGCGTGTCCTCACCGAACATTCAAAACTGTTTCTCCAAAGGGTTTTCCAAAAACTCAGACTGTTTTCCAAAGCAGAAGCACTGGCGTCCTCAGCAGAAGCGATGGGCAGCGTGCGAACCAACCGTTACAGCATCGTGTCTTCTGAAGAAGACGGCTTGAAGTTGGCCACCATGGCAGTGGCCAATGGCTTTGGGAATGGGAAGAGTAAAGTTCACACTCGCCAGCAGTGCAGGAGCCGCTTTGTAAAGAAGGATGGCCACTGCAATGTTCAGTTCATCAATGTAGGGGAGAAAGGACAACGGTACCTCGCAGACATCTTCACTACCTGTGTGGACATCCGTTGGCGGTGGATGCTGGTTATCTTCTGCCTAGCTTTTGTGCTCTCGTGGCTGTTTTTTGGTTGTGTGTTTTGGTTGATTGCTCTGCTCCACGGGGATCTGGATGCGCCTAAAGAGAGCAAAGCTTGTGTGTCAGAGGTGAACAGTTTCACAGCCGCCTTCCTCTTCTCCATTGAGACCCAGACCACCATAGGCTATGGCTTTCGATGTGTCACAGATGAGTGCCCCATTGCCGTCTTCATGGTGGTGTTCCAGTCCATCGTGGGCTGCATCATAGATGCCTTTATCATTGGCGCTGTCATGGCCAAGATGGCCAAGCCCAAGAAGAGAAACGAGACTCTTGTCTTCAGTCACAATGCTGTGATCGCCATGCGGGATGGCAAGCTATGTTTGATGTGGCGAGTGGGCAACCTCCGCAAGAGCCACCTGGTGGAAGCTCACGTGCGGGCACAGCTACTCAAGTCCAGAATCACATCGGAAGGGGAGTACATCCCCCTGGACCAAATCGATATCAATGTGGGGTTTGACAGTGGAATTGACCGCATATTTCTGGTGTCCCCCATCACGATAGTCCACGAAATAGATGAAGACAGCCCGTTGTACGACTTGAGTAAACAGGACATTGACAATGCAGACTTTGAAATCGTCGTGATCTTGGAAGGCATGGTGGAGGCCACGGCCATGACAACACAGTGCCGCAGCTCATACCTGGCCAATGAGATTCTTTGGGGCCACCGCTATGAGCCTGTACTCTTTGAAGAGAAACATTACTACAAAGTAGACTATTCCAGGTTCCACAAGACTTATGAAGTCCCCAACACGCCCCTTTGTAGTGCCAGAGACTTAGCAGAGAAGAAATATATCCTCTCCAATGCTAATTCATTTTGCTATGAAAATGAAGTGGCCCTCACCAGCAAAGAGGAAGATGACAGTGAGAATGGAGTTCCAGAGAGTACCAGTACAGACTCACCCCCTGACTTAGATCTACACAACCAGGCAAGTGTACCTCTGGAGCCCCGACCCTTGAGACGAGAATCTGAGATATGACTGACTGATTCCTTCTCTGGAATATTTGCTTTCAACACAGTCTGTTGGTCAATGGCCCAGAATAGTTATTCCGACGACAACGACGAAGACGGTACTGGTGAAGAGGTGGGTCAAGATGTGTGACCACAGGGACTGAGGCAGGCACAAAGGTTTCAAAGAAAGACTGTGAGCTCGAAGATGAATGAAAAGCCCAAAGCAAGCCTCCCTGTGACCCTAGGGTACAGGAAGGTTGTAGAATAAGTTATGGGGTGTTTGTGTTGTGTTTTGTGTTTTTACAAAACTTGAACTTGCAGGCAAGCCATGGTGGAGTATTTGATTTATCCAGAATGCTTCTCTTTAGGGAACAAGAATGTTTTTAATGGCATAACAAAGGCAAGATTCTGCCTTAATTTTTTGAAAAGCTGCTAACTACATGAACACAAATTGTATTTTTGTTGCAGTGTAGTTTTTTTTTTTTCTTGTAATTTAAAAGTCAGTGTTGAACTTTGTTGAAAGCTCATGAGATGCGCTTCAAAGTGGCAAGTATTTTGGCTATTAGTTGCCAAAAACGAGAGCCTGATATTTTTGAGGCCAGTAATTTGTTTGCTAGAATTGATTTTTCCCCCCTTCCTTTCTTTAGTTACATAAGGGCATTATGTAACACTAGCCAAATGGTAGCCTCCGGGTTTTTTTTTAAACTCCCTACATAATGTTGATGGATTATCTCAAATTTTAAGTTAGACTACCTAAAATAAATACCAAAGATAATGCACATTTTTGCACAGTGAAGCTTATACTAAAAAAGGAAAGAAGTCCCCACCGCTGCCTTGAAATTAAGAGATGATAACCGAACCTCAGCAAGATTTTGAACTGTTCTCTCCTTTTGCACCTTATTCAGAAGCTAGATCACACAGAGCTAGTAGTGTAGTGCTTTGCAAATGTGGTTCGTCCATGCAACTTTTGTATTATAGGAAGTGAAATTTGCAGACACACACATCATCTCTTTTCCTACGTCAGGTGGCCAAGCTAATACAAAGAAAGCGAGGCATCACGTGCTCTTAGATTTTTCTAGGTTTTCCCCTTTTCACACATTCCAACATGTATTCCTTAAAGACCCCAGTAGAATGGATTCAGCACCCTCAAAATCGAGCCACCTAGCATGATCAATAAATAGGTGCAGATTCTTGGGGCTAAATATGTAACTGTGGCCCCTGGGACATGTCCTTCTTGACCTTGTCAAAGAGGCACCATGTCTGGACTCAGGTCTGGGCAGGCTCTCTGAAGAGAGCCTTGGTTTCTCTGCAACGAGACTTGCAAGTATGTGACCTGGCTAAGTTAGAGGGGCAAATGCAGACATGTCACTTTAATATAGCCCATCAGCTCAAGTATTTGGGAGGGTCATTTTCTGTTTCATGGTTGAGGGAAAAATGGAAAAAAATTTCAGTATTTGAGTCAATGGGATTGATTTAGAGTTGACCCAGTAACAGCTAAAGGCCATGAGGGCATAAAATGGTGACCGCTGTGTGTCTGCAAACTCACTGTGGAATCTTAGCTGGCTCCTGTTTTCTCCAAAATGCAGGTTACTAAGCACACATTCACAGAAACCTCTCCTCTGCATGGCTGCCCAACTTGCTAGAAACACATTTTTGGGGGTGGGGAGAGTCTTCTCAATCATGGGACTGCTTTTTTGGTACCCTCTTTGTGAATTCGGGGGTTGCTGACTTTTGTTTTTTGAATTGGAGTCTCAAATCAACTCTCTGATGGTATTATATCCCTGTATGCCATTAAAAAACAACTTGTTCTAGAATCCTGTATTTTGTCATTGAATGTCTGTGAGGGTCTCTGGTTCTCAATCAGCCAGATGGGAATGTGGAGCCTGTGATATTGAGCACAAGTTCTGCTGTTCTTAGCCTTCAAAGTCTCTGGGTTTGAAGACCGGGGCATTATTTCCATTGAAAACAAGAGAGAGCTGTCAAGCGAGGGGATGCTATTTTGAATCCAAATTTGATGGCAGATTTAGGAAGTTACTTAGAGATTTTGAGAAACTGGGATGGAGGGGATGAGAGAATTTACACGAGAGGCAACACTTCGGCCGCAGACAGTGAGAAGGATGGTGAAGCTTTCAGCTGCTGCTATTTTGATATTTTGCAAAGGAAAATAATCAAACCAAAGAGTATTCAGTGATAAGTTAATTAAGTGAAGAGACAGTGGAAAAGAGGGGTGACCACAGAGAGGGTCTCCCCAACACACAGTGCTGCCACCCCCTGAAAAAACAACTTTAGATATTTGAAAAGATGGTGGGTGTGGGGGCAAGGAGGAGGATGGGGAATTTTTCAAATTCTTTCTGAAAAAGAGAAAAAAATAAAATTTCTGGTGCACAGGTTTGTTTTTTTTTTTCAAGAAAATTTTGCAGAAGCTATGTTTTTAAAGTGTACATTTTATAAAGTTTATCAGATATTTTCATATTTAAAGCCAAATGTAAATAGAACTCTGTAAAGGAAAAAAATTGCCATAGAAAGTATCATTTCAGTGCAGCAATTTCTGAGAGCTAGTACCTATATGCTACTGGTTAGCATGGTTTTAGCAAATATTTACCAGCCTTATAAGGCTTGTATTGCTGTGTTATTCTGTTATTTATTTCAGCATGGACTGTTCATTTGAAAGCTTTTTCTAGTTATTCGTATTTTAACAATTAGAAGCTTTAAATGGCAATTTTTTTAGTCAAGAGCCAAGACATAGGTAATGCACAAGATTTTGCTGCATTTTACCTTAAATACATTTGTCCTTATTGACTGGGTCTCCTTATATTAGTACACAAGTCGTTAGAACACAGATTCAAGAGACTCTCCATAAATAACCTGGGGTTTATTCCTGGATATGTGTTGCTTCTCTTATTGCAAGCAAATCCCCATTGAATTTACTTAGGAATTATCCTGTTAAAGAAGTTTTGCCCATATCTGAATGGGCATTATATTTTGGGGAGGAGGTATATATTCCTGGTTATCCTATTTTTTTTAAAGGTAGACAAAGTGAATTCTATTTTGATTATAGAGAAAGGAATAGTTTTCTATCCCTCTTAGTGTATACTTGAATCTGACATTTTAAGGATGTCATGCTAGCACTGTAGTCATTTCCAAATTTCTGGAGAAAGTTTGTTTCACCTTTTCTAAAAATTCTATTAATGCATTTTTCCCTCCCCTTGAGTTCCTTTCTTCCTGAACAACTTCTATCTCAAACCTCGATGTGTTTTTGTTGTTGTTAAACTCCAACCCCCAAATCATGTTACAATTGCAAATAATAAATGTCTGTTCATATATTATTATAAGCCGCCCCATCCAGGCAAAACATTTGTTCTGAGAAATAAGAGTGGGTTCTATTTCACTCTGTGTTGTATAACATGAAGGTGAGAAAAAGAAAGTGTTGTATAGTCACCTTCTCACTCCCAACTAGAATCTACGTTTTAGTGATACTGGGTTCAGCTCCGGGTTCAGGCAAGTTGAACAATTCTGAACTTCGACAATCATGATAGTTATTATTTTCCCATTTGCTGTCTTTTTGTATCTAAAGTCTTCCTATTGTACTGCACAAACCATGGATTGTACATATTTTTATATATTATGTCTTATTTTATTATTTCTAAATAAAAATTAAAAATTAAAACCAAATTGGTGCCAGGCTCTTTGGATTTCCTGTATGCTTCCTGTTGAATTGCTGAAATATAAAGCAAATGTTCCCAAACAATAGGCATAAACCTTGAAAGTTTGGATGAATAGAGCCATAGAAATTGCCTCAACAGACAGGTGTACTGGGGTAGCAGATTAGTTTAATCCAAGTTAGAGGAAGTCAAGCTCATATTTTGTTTTTAGACAGAATGGCCTACGTATGTGGAGAGGGCATAGAAAAAAGCCATAAACAACCCAGCAGGCATAACTCATGGAAAATAAGGTTTAGATTTCACCTCTGTTTAATATTAATAAGTTCCCATTCAGTCTAGACTTCTATATTATCTTTTTTCATTGCCCTCAACCAAACCAGGATATTCTTATTCTATTACAGACCAGGAGTTCACAAAACTGTTTTGTCAAAGTCCAGTCAACATTTTTGATTTTGCAGAAAGAATAGTCTTTGTTTCAACTATATAACAGTTTCATCTTCAACTGTCTTTGTAAGGTAAACTCACTGAAAGACAATAGGAAAAGAAGCGGCATCACCAGGTTTACATAATTTTTCACTTAAAAGTTCGAGTTCTGGGTCTGTTTTGCCCTGTGGTCTATAATTTTATGACTGTTCTCAACAAAGAAACTGAGGCTGGATTTTAAAGCTAACGAGTCCCAAGATAATAATTCAAATTCAGGTCTCATCTGCCTGCAAACCTCATTGAATTGAAGCCACTGTGTATTGTTCTGGACATGTGGCCTCAGAGTAAATGCCATTTCCTCTAGCAAATTTGGAAGACCTTAAAGTAGTTTCACAATGGGAAATAATGAGCAAATCTGCATTCAGAAATAGGGGCCATTCCTTCCTCTGGTTTATTTAGCAAATACTGAAACATGGCTGGCTAAGTTTCTCTCATGGCTCTTGGTTCTTTTAAACAATTAAGTGATTTAAACAGCAACCTCATGGAGCAGGCATTCCTATTATCCCCACTGAGGGAAAGGATTTAAATGACCCTATAGCATCCCCCTAGGTTTTCTTTCCCTCTGCCTTCCTTGAGGAACCTGTATTTTTTTTTTCTTTCTTTTTTTTTTTTTGGCTTTTTAAGTCACACTTGGCGATGCACAGGGGTTACTCCTGGCTCATACACTTATTCCTGGTGGTGCTGGGGGGACCATATGGGATGCTGGGAATTGAACCCAGGTCAGCTGCGTGCAAGGCAAACAACCTACCCGCTGTGCTATCACTCCAGTCCCTTGAGGAACCTTTCTTGGACAAAGTTGCGACACTGAATCTAAGACATTTCTGTCTCTTCCACTTTTATTCTTGTGTAAAACGAGCTCATCTTTTTTTTCTCTGGATAGGCTACATTTATTTCCATTTCCCTTAGAATCTACTCCCCACCCCCCACCCCCTTTAGTTCTGGAGAGAAGGGAAAAACTCACTAAGAGTAGACTAATTGCAAATGTGAGCATTGGTTGTGGAATTGGGGTAAATTTCAAACTTCAGATTAATTTCGGTTAACTAAGAGTTGCTTAGGCCTGTCTGGAGGCAAAACCACAAAGCTCTGTTACTAACCAAACTGCAGGCACCATACCACATCTGACACATTGGCTTCCTCACCATAGTCGGCAGCCAAGTGTGAAACAGGATCCTCCTGATGATGGGTCTCAGGGAACAAGATCTGTAATGATAAGTCCAAGCAGAGTCGACTGTTATTTGGGCCTCACCTCTGCTCATTAAAATGAAACTATAAGAAAGAAAAGTAAAGCTGAGATTTCATCTTCTTAGACTGTTTTCAGTGACAGTCCAACAGGGACTTCAAACTCCAGCCTTCTAAAGAAGTAGCCCTCCAGATAACAGTTGCAAAGCATAAACATACCTTCCTGTAGAAATGTCCGTTTTTAGGGTTGGAAAAATGGTAATAAATTAATTGGTTTTGCTTGCCTAAATTTAAATAGAAAATAAAGAGGAAGTGAATAAGGAGAAAGGGAGGTATGGAAAAGTAAGGAAATACAGAAGTGAAGAATGAAGGAAGGAGGAAGAGAGAGAAGAGGAAAAGAGGAAGGAAGAGAGAGGGCAGGGAGGAAGAAAGCCAGGATGGAAACAGGGAAGGAAGGAAGGGAGAGAGGAAAAGGCAAGAGGGAGAAAGGAAGGGAGGAAGGATGGGAGGAAGGAAGGAGAGTGCTATATTTTTAGTGAAGTAAAGTGCTTAGTCTATGAATAATGCATTTGAAACATGCAGAAATTTATTCGAAACAATTTATACCAGGAATCTTAGTGATTTTGTAATTTGAGCTATGGCATGAAGGTTATCATAATGACTTTAAAAAAATTCAATAATTGCAAGGTAATTTTTTTTTTTTTGCTGTTTTGGGTCACACCCGGCAATGCACCGGGGTTACTCCTGGCTCATGCACGCAGGAATTACTCCTGGTGGTGCCCGGGGGACCATATGGGATGCTGGGGAAACAACCCAGATCAGCTACATGCAAGGAAAATGCCCTACTGGCTGTACTATCACTCCAGTCCCAGGGTAATAATTTTTAACATTCAAAAATTGCCAGACCCAGGTACAGTGAGACTGTCATAGTAAACTGAACAAATTCAGCTGAGACAGTAGAGTTCTCCAGGCTGCAAGAGTCACAGTGCCCAAGCAAAGATTTTACTGGGCAAGGAGGGATGAATCAGTCATCTATTAAAGAAGCTACAGAAGCACCAGGGCTAGGGGAGGGAGAGGGACCGTTAAGAAGAATGTGGAAGGAGTAGTTTTAGGAAAGGTGAGCCAGATGCAGCACAGGGGTGTTACTAAATAGTAAGAACAGTAATGATGAATAATTACACATAAGTGGCTCTCTCCAAATAACTGAAATGTGTTGCCTCCAGGGCTTGGGAGGACTGGTTTTCTAAAATATACAATTCTCTGCCTTATTAAAAGAGGATAGATGGTATTTACATTTTCCTTGTATGACACAGTTAATAAGCACAGCTCTTCCTTGATAGGATGAACTTTTGGAAGTCTGTCCATTAAACCACTCAGTGCCCTTCTGTCCACTCTCAGAAGTTCTAGAACAATTTAGGTTGATTCTTTGGACCTGTTGTGTGGAGTAGACATGCATCTCCAAGGACTAGATTGCTTAGATCTCAATGCCAGCAGGCCAGAAAGATGCTGGAGAGACTCATATTTAACTTGACACTTGGATGTTCAGTGATTGGGGTTACATTCAGAGATCCTTTCAATTTCAGGCCTGAGATGATATCCTCTTTTTTAATTTAATTTTTTAAATTAAAAAATTTTTAAATTGAGTCACTGTGAGATAGATAGTTACAAAGCTGTTCATGATCAGTTTCAGTCATACAATGATCCAATACCCCTCCCTCCATTAGTGTCCATTTCCCACCACTAAAGATTCCTCCCTGCATCTCCCTCCACCGCCAATGCGCCCCCTGTCCCCCAACTTGCCTCTATGGCTCTATGACAGGTATTTTCCTTCTCTCTCTCCCCACCCTACACCCCTCTCCTGAGATAATTTTCTGATATGTTGATTAAACATCACACTTATATTCCATTTGGCCATATTTGTACTGAGAAATTGTTGTATGGCTCCAGTTCCTCAAAGTTTTCTCATATGGACATTTTCCTTCAGTAGATCACATTTTGAAAACAGGCTGGTATTTATTTATTTTTATTGAATCACCGTGAGATAGTTACAGATTTACAAACTTTCATAATTACGTTTCAGTTATACAATGATCAAGTACCCATCCTTCCATCAGTGCCCATTCTCCACCACTAATGTTCCCAGTATCCCTCCCACCACCACCCCCAACCTCCCCACCTCCCGCTTCTGTGGCAGGCACATTCTCTTTTACTCTCTCTCCTTTTGGGTGTTATGGTTTGCAATACGGGTACTAAGTGGCCATCATGTTCAGTCCATAGTCTACTTTCAGCACACATCTCTCATCCTGAGCGAGCCCTCCAAGGGTTCATTTACTTGGTTGTCCCTTCTCTATATCAGCTGCCTTTTCCCTTTCAGCATGTGAGACCAGTTTACAAGTATGGTAGTATTTTGGATATTCATGTTGTCCTAGAACAGAGGAAAGGAATCAAGGTTCAAATATAAACATTTACAGATAAACTAACAATTAGTGAGTACTTGGGCTATATACAGTAGGTCCTTAAGTGATTGATTTTTTCGTGTCATTTCCTTAGGAAGTTAATGGGAAAAAAGGAAATCCAGACAACATAGAATGAGTCCACATTACTCTAGGAACTATAAGCCCTACACTTACATAATTTTGCTCAAAGCCCAACTTTTCAAAAACTTCAGGAAGTCAGATAGAATTACTTTGCTAGGAACAGAACAGAAATGTGGTTCTTCTCCTCCATTATAGAAATTTTCACTTGATAAAATGGTTGGTCAGTAATGCTACCATGGATTCAAATAATCTTTCAATTACTGGGATTCACTATGTTGATTTGGTAAGAACTTAACTCCCTGGACCTGTCCTTTTCCTTCTTTTTTCCAAATGATGGCTCCGACCTCAGATCATGCTAGCTCCTAACACTCCTCCAATCCTCCCACTTCCCTGTCCAAGTACGTGTGTGAGGGTTAGTACTGGCTCATGGACTCAGGAATTACTCCTGGAGGTGCTCAGGGGACCATATGGGATGCTGGGGATTGAACCCAGATTGGCCTAATGCCCTACCTGCTGTACTATTACTCCAGCCCCGACAACCATGGTCACGGTCCTCTCGTTGTTCATCGATTTTGCTCGAGCAGGCCCAGTAACATCTCCATTGTGACACTTGTTACTGTGTTTGGCATATCGGATACATCACGGGTAGCTTGCCAGGCTCTGCGGTGTGGGCGAGATACTCTCAGTAGCTTGCCGGGCTCTCTGAGAGGGGCAGAGGAATCGAACTCAGGTCGGCCATATTGGCTGTGTGCAAGGCAAACAACCTACCACTGTGCTATCGCTCCAGCCCGTAGTAACATCTCCATCATGAGAC